CCCCGGCCGGCTGCGCCGCCGCCACCACTGGGGCCTGCTGGGGCGGCCGGTTGGCAGCCAGGTCCGGTGTGGAGAACTTGGCCATCTTGCGGTTGCCATTGCCACCACCGCTGCCGCCGCTGTCCCACAGCCGCTTGGCCACCGGCGTGCACTGCACGGAGTCCGACTCCTGCTGCTCCGTCTTGACCCGGGACACGAGGGGCAGCGGGGTGCCACAGGCCGGCCAGCTGGACGTCTGCGCCACTGGGCTCTGGGGCTCGGACGACGGGGCCTCCTCGGCGTGCAGGCCCTGCGAGTCGCAGCTGGGGGAGCTCACCTTGAGGAAGAACTCGGTGCCCTTCTCCATGATCTCCTGGATCTGCAGGAAGCCCGCCGTGTACATGAGCAGGAACTGGTCGCCCACGTTCATGCTCAGCCGGCCCGTGTAGCAGAAGCTGAGGATCCGCTGGAAGGACTGGGGCTGCACGGCGGCCGGCAGCTCCACCACCGCGCTCCGGCTGCTGTTGAACAGGTCCCGGAAGTAGGAGCTGCTGGCCGCCAGCACGGCCCGGTGGGCTTTAAAGGCGTGGCCCTTGACGACCACGGACACATCACAGTACAGGCCCTGCAGCCGCTGCTCGTTCAGACACTCCAGGATGCTGTTGCCGAAGTTCGGGATCTCCATCTGCAGGGTCTGGGCCATGGCGGCAGCTGCACGGGGGAGGGGGGGACAGGGGCGAGACAGACGGAGACACAGGGTCAGGCAGCAGACTCGGCGCGCCCCTCTCACGACCCTCACCTGCTGCGGGGAGACACGTGGGGGCAGACATCCACAGAGTGAGAGTCGCCCGGTGCCACCCACACCCTCGGTGCCGGCACGGACTGGCCTCTAGGACAGACTGTCAAATCAGTTATGTCAGCTCCAGGCCCGGGTGGCCGCCGGCTATCCCTTGCAGACAAGGGGCGGGCAAAAGCATACTTACACGTGTGTGTCTGAACACGAAATGAGTTAACACAGTGTGAACTCCACGAGCGTTAACCATCACGAGCACGACACGCACGGTTAGGTAACTCTGAAGGGCACTGGCACCGCAACACCAAAGGGGCAGGGGCATCAGAGTCTTCATACTGTGTCCGCAGCACTGAGCCCATGACCCCCGATCACTGCTGGCTGAATGACTGAATGACTGCTCAAGAAACCCTGAGGCTGCACGGGAACATCACTAGTCGGCAGGGATAATGCAAATGCACACCACAACGAAACACCATTTCATACCAGCTAGGCTGGCGAGAATAAAAAAGACAGACAACAAGTGTTGGCAAGGAGGAGATCGGAATCCTCCTACACTGCGGGTGGGAATGTAAAATGGTGCGGTTGCTATGGAAAACAGTCTGGCAGTTCCTCAAACGATTAAACATGGAACTACCACATGACCCAGCAATTCCATTCCTCAGAATTATACCCAAGAGAAATGAACACCTATATCCACAGAAACACCTGTATGTGAATGTATACGGCACCATTCGCGATCGCCAGAAAGAGGGGAACAACCCAAACGTCCGTTGACTGATGAATGGCTAAAATAAAATGAAATACGGTCCAGCCATATAATGGAATATTATTCAGCCATATAAAGGAATGAAGCACTGATACATACTATTCTATGGGTGAACCTTGAAAACAATATGCTAAATGCAAGAAGGCGGACAAAACAACTGTGTATTGTATGATCCCATTTATGTAACATGTCTAAAATGGGCAAATCCGGAGCCAAAACAAGCAGACTAGTGGTTGCCAGGGGCTAGGTGGGGTGTGGGGTGGCAAGCAGAAGGATGCGGGGGTTTCTTCTGGCCATAACGTAAAATGGTCTAAAATTGTAGTCATACGCACCCAACTCTGAATATACCTAGTTTATCTTCGAACACCAGGGGTTTGAACCGTGTGGGTCCACTTATACGCAGAATTTTTCAATAGTTCAGGACTGTAAATGTATTCTCTCTTCCTTATGATTTTTTTTTTTTAGTAATCTCTACACCCAAGGTGGGGTTCAGACTCACGACCCCAAGATCAAGAGTCCCATCTACTGACTGAGCCGGCCAGCAAATCTTAGGATTTTCTTAGTAACTTTTTTCTCTACCTTATTTTATTGTACTTAACACATACAATATACAAAACACGTGTTAACTGACTGTTTATGTTATCAGTAAGGCTTCTGGTCACCTGTAGGCTGTTAAGTTTTGGGGGAGTCAAAAGTCGTATGTGGACCTTTGACTTCGTACGCGCACTGGTGGGGGTGTTAGTGCCCCTAACCCACTCGTCATTCAAGGTTCAACTGTACTAAAAACTGTTCAATTGTACACTTTAAATGGACTCCATGGTATGTGCATCTCAATAAAGCCGAGGAAGGAAGAAAGAAAGAATCCATACTTGCCATAAACACTCTTTTGATCCTGGTGATCATACTGCTTATTTACAAAAATAGATAGTATGTTCCATGCTCAGCACAGAGTCCGCTTGGGATTCTCTCTCCCTTTTCCTCTGCCCTCCCCCCCCCCACCAAATACGTAAGAAAATTATATATATATATTTTTTAAAGATTTTGTTTATTTATTTGACAGAGAGAGACACAGCGAGAGAGAGAACACAAGCAGGGGGAGTGGGAGAGGGAGAAAGGAATAATCTTTAAAAAAAAAAAAAAGGAACTGTCTGTGACCCTGCGCAGGGAGCCCAGGCACCTCTCAAATGTGAATTTCTGCAGCACAGCCTATTCCATCAGTGCACATTCCAGCACATTCCAATCCAGAACTGGGCATGTCCAATACTCCGAGAGCACTCATAAAAGGGCTCTGAAGGACAGTGTGGCTTTACGACTATACCCATAGTAAAAGTGAGTTCCTGCAATTCTATTAAAATATAGAAGGCGGTGGTCCCGAATGGGCAGTGTGGGTATGAGAAGAGTCGGGCTGGTAAGGAGAAAGGAGGAAAAAGCAGGTGTGCAAAGGCCCTGGGGCAGGTACCAACTAGAGCCCCCAGCTGTTTCCCCTCATTCCCAGATTAGCTTTCATGCATCTTTCGCATCTTTCATTGACTAGTGAGTCCATTCTGAGCTGCCTCCATGGGTTGAGCGCTGGGACACAGGGGCCCTATCTGGTACCACCGGGCTCACAGAAGACTGTACAGACGAAGAGAAGCAGCCATGCACTCATGGACAAGTGCGTGCTGGCTCCAGAACCAACTCGCTCCTGAGAGCAGGAACTCAAATCTCTACTTCTCCATTTGGAAACAAATGTTGGTAAGACCAACCCAATCGTGCAAATTCAGTCTGTCCTCACTAAGCTGCTACATGTGGTGGAACCCTGAGACACCAGCAGGCCCCGCCCCTCCTAGCAACCATGCTTCCAAAGAGCTGACAGGTGACCTGCAGGAAGTTCTTTGAACCCTCTTAGCAAACCTATGGGGCCGATTTCATACTCCCAGTTCTCAGATGGGAAAGCTGAGGCCATGGGGAAGCTAAGAACTGTCCCAAGGTCACTGGTGAGTAAGTAGTAGGGACAAGATTCAAACCAGGGTCTGTGCGGGCACTGAAACCTGTGATTTCCCTTGGCTATGCCCTTTGCCTCCTTGTCATCATCAAAATCACGGTCACTGCCAGGAAAAACAATTTAGGGTCATCAGGGGGCGAGGCGGAGACAAGGACCCTCCCATCAGAAGGAGCACACTCCTTCCAGGGCCTCAAACTCAGTGCCAGATGGGCTAGAAGCTGACCCTCTGTTTAGAGACAGGAGAAACTGAGGCACTGAGTGCAGGCAAAGGACAGAACCCAGAGCCTGCTCCAGGGGCCTCACAGCCCCAACCCAACTCCCAAGGCTGCCAAAATGAAGCCGCTCCAGGTACTGGGGCCCAAGTGACCAGAGTCAAGGGGGTCAAGGGAGAGGCTAGCTCCCAGTCCCTGAAAGAGAGCTCTGGACCCCCAGCTTGGAAGGCTCACACCGTAAGGGGGAGGACTGACACAGGAGAGGCCTGTGGTGGAGTCAAAGCACCTCCCAACCCCAGACCTGGTTTCAGATGCCAGCCCCTCACCTCTGTGCCTTGGTTTCTTCATCTGTAAAATGGGGACTCATTCATCCAACCCACCCTGATAAACCGCACAGCTCAGGGGACACAGCTCTAAAGAGGACTGGCTGTCTCCACACGCAGTCATCTGGTGGGGAGACACAGGGAGTGATACAACTGGGGTGTCACTGAGGGGCTGACTCTGGGAGTAAAGGCAAAGACACGGGGACACAGAGCAACTGTCTGGGGCAGGAAGTAGTGAAGTGCAGTCTGGAGACCCCCAGGAAGCCAGTGCTGGCTCGAGGGGAGTGCAGGGGCAACAGGGCTGCTGGGAAGGGTGTGGGACAGGGGGTGCCTGGCCTGGTGAGGACAAATGTTTCTGGGAGCAGAGGGAAGCCTGGAGCAAGGGAGGCGCAGGCCCAGACCACTGGAGAACTCCCAGCAGCAGCGTGGAGAACGGAAACAGGTGAGACACTGAGGGCTGGGCCAGTGGTGGGGGCAGGCGGCAGGGACAGGGACAGAGAGGACAGTCAGACTCACGAGTGAGCGGCTGCAAAGAGGGAGCACCAAGGCAAGACTAAACGACTCCAGTTTGGGATGCAGCAGCTGGTGGGGGCTGTGCTGCACCCAGGGGCTGCAGAGGGCATTCTGAGGGGTGCTCCCAGCCATGTTCAGCATGCCAGGTGCTGCTGCAGGCGCTCTCCTCCGGGTCCCCTCCACGGGGGAGCGCTACGACTGCCCCACTTGATAAGCGGGGACTGAAGGGCAGCCCTGCTCCTTCCCCGGCAGCTGGCCTTCAGGGCCTCACCCCTCACTGGGAATCAGCACAGGCTGACCGATCAGGGCAAGCTCAGCAACAGGTGTGTGGAGGTCCCTGCGGTAACAGGAGGGAACACGCACAGGGAGGGGCCCCCGAGGGTAAGAGCCACCCGACATTCAGGCTGGGGTTTCCCCAGCCTTGTGAACCCCAGCCTCAGAGCCCAGCACCTAGGGCTTTGAAGCCTTTGACTAACCATTTGGGAGGGGGAGGGAGACAATTGGTACAAATGGCTCAAGCGATCAGTGCCTAGGGATCTCCCCTCCCCGCCCAGCGCAGGTCTTGAGTTGCAGAAACCCTTCATGGCCTTGTTGCCCCTGCAAGGACAGGGGAAAGCAAGGCCTTGGCTGGTTTTAGAAGCAGTAACAGGCCACCCTCAGGTTCCCCTCCCTCCTCTCATCCCTGGGCAACTACCCCAATCCAGTCCTCTGGACTCAGAAGGAACAGCTATCCTGGCTCTGTGTGAAGCCCCTTCCTCACACCAGCCCTGGGCGGGGGGTGGGGTGGGGGGTAGGGTGGGGAGGACCACGGAGCCATAATGGGCTCCCAGAAAAAAACAGGTCTAACTAAGTACCTGGTACCTGGCCTTGGTCACCTGCTGCCTAGGAAGAGATGTGATGGAGCCAAGAGTTGGGGGTCTCTACACCATCCAACAATTCTGTCCCCACCAAGCACACTGCATGGCTCTCCCACCCAGCCAGGCCTTTGCCCAAGCTGTGCACCCTGCCTGTAGTCCCCTTTTCCTCCCACTGCCTACATCCTTCTCTCCTACGCTCCACCACCCCCTGGCTCTGAGAATTCTCCAGACTAGAGATCCCCCCTTCTGCACACTCTCTCCAC